ACAAATGAATTAGTTTCGTATTAACAAATAGTGAGAGCATAATGTACGAAACTCCGAAATGAAAAAAAAATTCCTTTTAAAAAAGGTATACGGATCACAGGTAACAGTTTCTTCTGCCACGAGAATTCATTAGTTTTCAGGCGAACCTGTAATTTTTCCGTATTACTTTTCGTTTATTACTGAGGTTGAATGATTTATTTATTCTTTAAATATATAAATATGTTTAAACGAAGTCTTCGTTCATTATATTACTGTTCCAAACAGTTAACTATCATCTTAACGACAGTTATGTAATGAGCGACATGTAGATAGTTTATGTAACGTAACGAAAATCATTATCAAATATCTTCTTTTACTCGAAGGATCAAATAATTATATACATTTCACATTTTTTCTTTATTGTTAAAGACATAGCCGTGTTTGACGAATATACTCGTCATCGCTTGATTGTCGCGACACGTATGAAATGGAGGCGTTACAGCTGATAGTTTATAAAAATGAATCCGTGATCATGGTGAAACTGGTCTTTAGTGAAATCATATTACTCAAAACTGCGAAGGATATATTGCTGTCTAGAAAAGACGAAAGTTCCGTTTCTATTCGGGGCAGATACTTTGGGCAAGGAACTTGAAAAAGACCATGCTTCGAAATGTATACTTATATTGACCACGAAATGACTAAACAAAATTGTTCAAGTTGAAAAAAATATGTATGTCATTCAATAGTAAAAATTGTGCTTTCCGATATTAGGAGCATTGTTATTTTTTTACAGGAAAAATTTGCAAAATTCTTGTTTATCTCAATTTTAAGGTTAATGGACTTAGACTGACTGCTTTCTGAGCCGTCCATATATGGGTGAAAATTATTATTTTCTATTTCCATTATTTTTTTTTTTTAATTCGTGGTGGTACTAATCGATAAATTTATGAACTATGTAGAGAACTGTATCTAGATGAAAATTATTCTGCGTTGAGCAATTAATGCCATGCATTCAGTAACAGAAACAGGATCGCTTTAGCTATGTATGACGACTATCCTGATTTCTTTTTATTAAATTCCAAGAGTATGTATTCTCTTTTGGCAAAAGTAGTATATGCGATCGAAAGCAATCGTTCTCAAGTACCTTTAGGTAATCAGGGTCGAATGAAAACTCCGCATCAAAGCAGAATTTCGTTGGTTCGGAAAATAAATTAGCGTTAGAGAACCGCATGATTATGTACGCGTTGAAGAAAACTTGGAAGACATTGTAGTATGTGATCAAGGTTTTCAAGCTGTACTGTTTTCTGTTCTTCATGTACTCCGGTGTCAAGTGTAGAACAATGACTAGATGCGCCATCAGAGAGGATAGAGGGATGATAATGGACGGTGATGCCAACGGCAGATCCTTGGTCCTTTGGTCTGGAATTACGAACGATTTTTGGCGGTTGCTGACGTGACGAAGATTAGGAGAAAATGAGAGGAGAGATGTTTCGTCCGGGACCCGCTAGAGGACTCATCCAGTAAGGCTATCCTAGCGGGCCCTTGCCTTAGACGTTAGGATGTCGGAAGGAAGGACGAAGTCTATATATAGACAAATTGAGGCGGATCGGTTACTTACGGAAAGAGGAGCCATCGGTTGGTGGGTCTGGAGGTAACCGCCACAAATTCAAGTTACTATACACCAATCAAATAAGACGGTAGAACTAGAAAACTGAATATAAACGGTCTTCGCAAACTTTTCCTCATTGTTAATCAACTTCTTCGAATATCGTTTCTCATTTCAGCTAACGTTTACACTGAAAATTAACTTTGTTGTGGAAGACAAAATCGTTACAAGCTGGTTAACTATCGCTGGCAAGTCTCGTTGGATTGACATTCTCAATACTACAACTTTCCTATTCGACTTTTCGTTGATAATTTCAATTATTTATGTTTACTTCAATTCATTGATACTTTGGCAATTGTTTGTTCGATAACAAAATTGGATATTTGGTTCAAATATTATTATAACAAAAACTGTTCCTTCTTTTTATTCCAATCATACCATCTTCCCCTTTGTGTTAAATTGTACCACTCTATTCTGTATAAAAATGTAAAACATAATAATTTTTTAATCATTTTCTTCGTATAAAACATTTGATTTTTCCATTAATGGACACATTTTTCATATGAAATGTAGACATAATTATGTAACATTTCTACGATTTAAAAATTACTTTGTTAAGATTACTTTACAAGGAGTATGATAGAATATGTCTTCGGTTCACGATGTATTAAAAACGTTACATACTTTCAAATCGATCGGAGTAGAGATTGGTCTTTCACTCGTGAACATTTTCCTTTATGACAACAAAAATCATGTTAATGGCATCGCTGAAAATGTACATTCCTCGAGTAGATGTTTGTGGACTCTAGCTGATGAATCACAACAGGTCTCTAGACTTCACAATAACAGTAACGGTTTGATGCACTTGTTTATCGAGATGAAATCTCGACTAGAATTACTTACCAACATTCTCGTACCAATAGTAGCGGCAAAGGTCCACGATTTCCATTTCGTGCACTTTATTTCTTCGCCCACAACAAATTCACCAAACTAAAATATAACTTCACCAACGTCAGATACCAATTGTACCCCAATTTATAAATATGCCAAAGTGGACTGTCCTCAAAAGCTTCGTGGATGCGCGGCGACGAGAAGCGTCTAACTAAATGTCGCCGGAAAATCTGTCCAAAGTATGCAAGTCATAAACACTTATTAATGGTCGCGCATTTACTGCCATTGCTGTAGTAAAAACTATTTGAATCTACATCGGAATTAATTATCAGCTCAAATAATATGCTGTATGAATTTGATTTTCATTTGCAATCTGTCGAATACCAATACCTTATTAACTGGTGCCAACAATGAAACATTTCAAAGACAAGATCACATTTTGCATTTCATTGCACATTCTCGGCACTTTGCATTGATCCAGGATAATTTCGGAGTGAGTGTTATGATATTGTGTGATTGCTACCGAACAATGAGAAGATCGAGGCTGGATAATTGAATTAAAAATGAGAAACAGACCAAGTTTATCAGTGTTAATTATGTAATGTTTGTAAAATCCAAAATTCAGTTTTTGAGGTCCAATGTTAATTTTTGTTTTATTTTTATAATGCCTCAGCATTGGGATTTAATTTACTTCAGCCAACGTCGTTGTCGTGTCCTATCCTTTCACGAATGATACGATAAAAATAGGGAAGCTGTGTTTTTATAAAATATTTATAAAATACAAATCTTTGAATGTTGTAAACCTTTGTCTGTAGCAAAAAATTGCTTCCGATGAAATGTGAATACTTTAACCCTTCCACAGTGGAAGCATTAACCATTTTACTTCCCGATAAGACGTGTGTAACTTCTTTTATCGTTTTAAATGATTCTGTCGGTGATAATGAGTGCAGAGAAGAAACTTTTAAACACGTTTTACAAATTTTATTGAGGAAAAGGAACATCCAATTACACATAATTACGTTTTATGCCATATATGTTGTAACATGAAGCACGAAAACATACGTCGCTGTCCTGGCAAAAGTATCTCCTTTTCTTTCTAATTCTCTTCCCACTAATTCGACGTGAACAGCATGCCGCGCATAATCTAGACGGTTTTTCTTCGTTAGCAGTTGCTGAAATATATTTGATAAAACCGTCTTTCTGTCAAACGAAACGGTTATGGAGATGCAGAAGTCAGGCCAGCCATAAGCATTCCATACTGCTTGGTCTGAAAGATGTACGGTAATTTTATAACAATATTTTTTCCCTCTGCTACGCGTTACATCATAGCATTTGACATATCGATTCAATTTATCAACACCATCCATTATAAAATTGGTCGCGTATGGTCTTCGGAGTATTCTTGATTTTATTATTTTTTTGTTTATTCGTATGAACACTGAATTTTGAATAGCGGACGCGAGTCACCAATGAGACCAAGAAAATCTCGGGATCCTTGTTTTGGTACTTGACGCTTCGCCCTTATTCACTGCGAAAACGTTAACATTGACAAGGTAGGAATCTTGTTCAAAAGGTCAGGAAAAATGAGAGTTCTGTTTTATTTCGATTCTTCAGTTACATTTTGTGTGTGTGTGTGTGTGTGTGTGTGTGTGTGTGTGTGTGTGTGTGTGTGTGTGTGTGCCGTACAAGTCTTTAGTTACAGTTTGTTCCGTCTAATTGGGAACCCGCGATGGATATTTTATTATTTAAAAGGTAACAACCAAAACAAATGTCACAAGAACATTCATAAACGTTGCATTCTAATTCTGTAACACCGTATTATTACTTCGGTTTCTTGTGCGCATCTATACAATGCAAGAATCTACGTTTACTTACCAAGATTTCTTGAGGTCGAAACTAAATGCAAATATTCCTATTTATTCAAATAACTATACCTCTCAAGTCAAATTATATACACAGTTGAGAAACCATAAATTAGAATGTCAGCAGTAAGTAACGCATGTACCGGTATCGCAGTAATTACGATTCGTTTAGAGTTGTTAAATTTGATCGTAATGCGAATAGCGTCGCGTGCAATATCGGTAATCACAGTTGGCGTCTCATCATTTCCAGCTAGTCGACAATTTCAATTGCAATTTCTATGCAAGCATATTCTTCCTAATGTGTCCTACATCGACTTTTCATTAGTTTTCTTGTAAGTTTTCTGGTAGAAGTCGTAGAACAGCTTGAAGTTGATCACAAGATTAATTATCGAAACGATGCCCGGTAACCTCGCTACTGGGCAGGATGGCAGGAATGACATGATGTTTTGACTTATGAGAAGTACGAACTGTGCCTGTTATAAAAGAAATAGATAGGCGTTAATATATCCGATAAGTGTCTGATTCAAATATTCTAATTTTGCATAAACTCGTGTGCCTTCATCAATTGAAATCGAATAAGTCGAATTGGTCTGAATGTTCCATTTCTAAGAAAATATTATAATATTTTCCTCCAAAATTGGAAAAGTTGATTTGACTTGGACACGATCTTTTTTCTAAAGGACAATGTAACAAGACGCAATAATTCTTTCAAAACTACACTAAATAATTTGAATTTTTTAGATGATAAATGAATTAGTCTATTAGGTGATGGTAAAATATTTTTTTCTTAAATTTTGCTATTACTTCGAATGAAAAGAAAAAATTAAAAATCCTCGTTTTTTACCTTTTTTACTTGAGCCTACAACGAAAGTTAAAAAAGCGTCTCTTGTGGATTCCGGTAATTTTATTATTACGTTAAAATCCTTGAACATCTGTAGATAGTAGTTAACCGATTTCGATCAAATTTTCAACATATATTCATATCGGTTACCAAGTTCTACGAAAGATATATTTTAAATTTTCGTTACACGCTCAGATAAAAAAGTTAAAAAAAACGGAGCTTTTTTGTCATTCCAGGTAATAGCAAAACTAAAAGAAAAAACCGTTTTGGTCATCGTGTTGTAGACTAATTTCTCTATTATCTAAAAACAATTCGAGTCAGTTAGTACAGTTTTAAAGTAGTTATTGTGTTTTAAAAGCTTTACGAACACTTTTATGAGCCAGCGTATGTAAGGCGTTTTTGTCGGTGTACTATCAGCGAAAGATATTAAGAAACGTTGATCGACGATTTCTGTTTACCATTTGCATTATCGTGATTAGTGGCTTTATCTTCTTCAGAATTTTCGGCGCTTTGTCTCCCATTGTGCTGAAGTAGTAATAAGTGTACATGATCACGTGAATAATGCAGTTCACTATGATCGAGAAAGAGGCCATTGCCACTGGAACGTATCTCCCGAAAGTCCAAACAATTATCACCGTCGATATGTGGTGGTATATGTGTAGAAAGGAAATCTGCCTGTCCCTTTTCCTCAGCACGAATACGCCTGTTTCGATCAAGTCGACAAGCTTCAGAAGTAGCGTCCACCAGAACATGTAGGCAATCTGCAACACACGATAGGGTTATATTAAAACTAAATAAAACTTTATGTAACCAATGTTGTGTAGAGTTTTTTTACCGTAGCTGCGTGTGTATCACAGATACAGTATTCTAGACCTCACAATTTTTGTTGTTTTTCATAGCCTAATCCGCATGTTTTTATTTAGATTTCAGATTCGAATTTATATCAGTAGTGAGGAATGTGAATCTGAGGTACTATTCGCTTGCTCATTTGAGACAAATGTATAATGCTGCGATACATGCACGAGAAATTACGTTTTTTATCCTAATAATTAAGAATTACGAACACGTACAAACAGTTCGTGTAGATTGCTGCTGATCGATGGAATTAAATTTTACAGTGCATTTGCTCGTGATTTTGTTCGGCGAAAATTATGTACGGCTTGGTTTACATGAAACAACTTATAAATTAGATGGATTGGCATCGATTAATTTTCGAGTATCTGGTTTCATGTTGACATCTACACAGTAAAAGATGGTCTTTAAATACCTTTACATGCTTGGGATCAAACGTATAATTCGGTAACGTGCAGATCACTGAGAATTCTGTCAGTACTCCTGCTGATAAAAATTGTTGCACTATCAAGGCATTGCTGACTATTTGGAAAATGTTGTAGTATTTCACGAAAGTCCTCAGATCGTACGGCTTTTTGTCTTTCATGTACCTCGGCCCGCATTTCAAGACGAAGTATAGATACGAGGCGAGGATAGTCGGGATGAGAATGGGCGATTCCATTAACGGCAAAACGATGGTCCTCGGATCTGAAACCAAAAACAATTCAAGTTGCCGATTAAAGGATACCGTAGAATTGTACAGCGGAAAATAAACGATGTAACTTCGTCGTCTAATAAACTTTTCTCGTCGATATTGGATTTCGTTAGAGCGGCGCACTATGGCGACAAATTCCATTCTATAAACTTTCGATTTTCACTACAAAAGAATTAGTTTCGTATTAACAAATAGTGAGAGCATAATGTGCGAAACTCCGAAATGAAAAAAATTCCTTTTAAAAAAGGTATACGGATCATAGGTAACAGTTTCTTCTGCCATGAGAATTCATTAGTTTTCAGGCGATCCTGTAATTTTTTCGCATTACTTTTCGTTTATTACTTAGGTTCAATGATTTATTTATTCTTTAAATATAGAAATATGTGTGTAAATGAAGTCTTCGTTCATTATATTACTGTTCCAAACAGTTAACAATCATCTCAACGACAGTTATGTAATGAGCGACATGAAGATAGTTTATGTAACGTAACGAAAATCATTATCAAATATCTTCTTTTACTCGAAGGATCAATTAATTATATACATTTCACTTTTTTCTTTATTGTTAAAGACATAGCCGTAAAAGATTCACCCGACGCATCAAATATACGGTAACGTTCGCACGATTTATTTTTGGAAGTTCTGAACGTTGATATCCCCCCTCTGGAAATCCACTTTAAAGTAAATCAGAAAATAAATCTTTTAAACCACATCGAGTCGTTTTTGTNATGTACGGCTTGGTTTACATGAAACAACTTATAAATTAGATGGATTGGCATCGATTAATTTTCGAGTATCTGGTTTCATGTTGACATCTACACAGTAAAAGATGGTCTTTAAATACCTTTACATGCTTGGGATCAAACGTATAATTCGGTAACGTGCAGATCACTGAGAATTCTGTCAGTACTCCTGCTGATAAAAATTGTTGCACTATCAAGGCATTGCTGACTATTTGGAAAATGTTGTAGTATTTCACGAAAGTCCTCAGATCGTACGGCTTTTTGTCTTTCATGTACCTCGGCCCGCATTTCAAGACGAAGTATAGATACGAGGCGAGGATAGTCGGGATGAGAATGGGCGATTCCATTAACGGCAAAACGATGGTCCTCGGATCTGAAACCAAAAACAATTCAAGTTGCCGATTAAAGGATACCGTAGAATTGTACAGCGGAAAATAAACGATGTAACTTCGTCGTCTAATAAACTTTTCTCGTCGATATTGGATTTCGTTAGAGCGGCGCACTATGGCGACAAATTCCATTCTATAAACTTTCGATTTTCACTACAAAAGAATTAGTTTCGTATTAACAAATAGTGAGAGCATAATGTGCGAAACTCCGAAATGAAAAAAATTCCTTTTAAAAAAGGTATACGGATCATAGGTAACAGTTTCTTCTGCCATGAGAATTCATTAGTTTTCAGGCGATCCTGTAATTTTTTCGCATTACTTTTCGTTTATTACTTAGGTTCAATGATTTATTTATTCTTTAAATATAGAAATATGTGTGTAAATGAAGTCTTCGTTCATTATATTACTGTTCCAAACAGTTAACAATCATCTCAACGACAGTTATGTAATGAGCGACATGAAGATAGTTTATGTAACGTAACGAAAATCATTATCAAATATCTTCTTTTACTCGAAGGATCAATTAATTATATACATTTCACTTTTTTCTTTATTGTTAAAGACATAGCCGTAAAAGATTCACCCGACGCATCAAATATACGGTAACGTTCGCACGATTTATTTTTGGAAGTTCTGAACGTTGATATCCCCCCTCTGGAAATCCACTTTAAAGTAAATCAGAAAATAAATCTTTTAAACCACATCGAGTCGTTTTTGTGATATAGAAATACTTAATTGATAAATTCTGTTTGATAATTTCGTTTCCACGTCACCATTTCGTTTTCATTACGTTTATTATGTATGTAGTATATGTTAATGTTTAGCGAATAAGTAAATATTGGTAATACAATTTTTAACTTTACAAAATAAAACCGTCTTTTTGATTCAATATTTTAACAGCAACACTTACTCTGTGTTTGACGCGTATGAAATGGAGGCACTTCAGCTGACTGGTTACACAGTTTATTAAAATGTATCTGTGATTATGGAGAAACTGGTCTTTAGTGAAATCTTATTGCTCGAAACAGCAATGGATATGAAGCTGTCTAGAAATGATGAAAGTTCTGTTTCTATCCGGGGCACCGACTATGGGCAAAGAACTCGAAATGAACCACACTTCTATATCTCACGAATTTTCTACGGATGACATTTTTTATTTTATTTCGATATTACTCACAAATTTCAAATTATCGATATTACTCACCAACATTTTGGTTCCAATAAAAGTCGTAAATCTCTGCGATTCCCATTTTGGACACTTTCCCGCTCTATCGCGAACAACTTCACGAACTCGTTACTTAATTCTAAGATAGTTGATTATATATATATACGCTATTATGCTCTGATATTTACAACGGCATGTGCAAGGAAAGATACCGACTCTCCTTACCACATTTTTCGAACTGTTCTGCCATTGCTTCAGGCACGTTTGACGTCTATATCACATCAGTCTCTTAAAATGTGCATTCATTTGAACTAATCAAAGTGTTAACAAAGTCAATGAAGCATCACATACCTATTGTCTGTAATAGACTTTGATTCTCATATGATAACGTGTGGTTTGTATTATCGATTGTTACTGAAATCGTTACTAACCTACCTCGTTGCAAGCCTAAACTGCGTAATACACTGCTTGGCAGCTCCTGTTTTTGTGTTTACGAAATATCGCGTGGAGTTTCTATAATTTCGTTTACATATTTATTTAATAAGTCCACTTTTCTTAGAAGCACATCTTTTTGAAGTCATGAATAAACAATAGATAGCAGCGCTTATAGTTGATCATGAAATGATTAAATAAAATTGTTTTTCTATATCCTTGACATTTTTTTAACTAAAAAATTTACATTGTTTTAAGTAATGAAAATTTATTAAAAATTTACTTAATTTTTATTTATTATAGAATTATATTATTAAGGTATCTTAATGGATTTCATTGAAACACGGTAAACGTAAAAACGATTGTCCTTCGCAGGTACACATGATTTACAATATTTTCGCACTGCAGAGACTTTTCCAGGTATTTTCTGGCGTTTGTGTTGTCGTTTATTAGAAGTTGTTGCAATTTCCTTAAGAATTCACGTGGCGCTCAACGTGTTAAATTAGCATTGCGAATCGTACTTTGAATTCTGCTCGGACACGGAATTATTTAAATTAGAAATATCATTTACGTACTTTGTTAATCTTCGCTCTACATCTTGCTTAAAAATTTCATATGATACACATAAGGTGTCACGCACACCTGAAAATTAAAACGGCTGTCACGGTTAAATTAGTTATTATATCGGGTGCGAAAAATTACTAAATATTCCTCAGACATTCTGAAACAAGGATGAATAGCGTTTTCCTATTATCACTGTCACGTAGTAAAAAAGAAATTCGGAAGTTCACGTTCTGCGACATGCTCACTGATTCCAACGCAGCATTAGTCACTGTTTTTCGTTAATAACTCACCTTTTCATAATAACAAAGCCGCGTATTTAATTTTCGGCTAAGGGAAAAATTACTTCAAATGACCTCAGATACCCCCACCCTATTTTCGGCTGTTAAAGTAATTATGGAACACCCTGTATAATATATGTAATAACATAATAATTCAGATAATACCTAAGTAACCTTCTCAGGAATACATAAAATCCGCGGTCTAGTTATCAATAACCAAACTGATCGATCGATTCGGTCAATCGAACTATCGATCGACGATCAACGATAATGATCGCTATTAATCCAAAGAAATTCCAGTCATCCAAACTGTTTACCGTAAACAAATGAAATTTCTTTCACTAATACAATGGTTATTACGTCATAGAACAATATTAATCATTCGTAACGGTTCTTTCTAATCAAAATCCTTTTAGGCACGACGCGCCACTATAGTGGCTTCCGCGGATGTCATCTCCCATAACGACGCGCCACTATGGTGGCTTTAACGGATGTCATCTTCCTGAACGACGCGCCACTATAGTGGCTTCTGCGGATGTCATCTTTCAGAACGACGCGCCACTATAGTGGCTTCCGCGGATGTCATCTTTCAGAACGACGCGCCACTATAGTGGCGTCCGCGGATGTCATCTCTCCGAACGACGCGCCACTATAGTGGCTTCCGCGGATGTCATCTCTCTGAACGACGCGCCAGTATAGTGGCTTCCGCGGATGTCATCTCTCTGAACGATGCGCCACTATAGTCGCTTCCGCGGATGTCATCTTTCCGAACGACGCGCCACTATAGTGGCTTCCGCGGATGTCATCTCTCTGAACGATGCGCCACTATAGTCGCTTCCGCGGATGTCGTCTTTCAGAACGACGCGCCACTATAGTGGCTTCCGCGGATGTCATCTCTCTGAACGACGCGCCACTATAGTGGCTTACTCTAGTAGCTCACTCGCTCATCGTTTGAATCAAATAATCGTCTTCATATGCACTGTTTCACACAACTTTTGTCTTCGCATCGATTTACAACAGTCTTAACGATATACAGACAGAATATACAGTATCAGACTTTGTACAGTACATATCAGTCTCTGCGGCGTCCACAGAAACAGCCTCGCGCAGAATTCAGCCGTACCTAAAAGGGTTAAATTGATATATCGACGTACTATCGACGATTTCGCAAAAACCTGAGTAGTTCGCTTGGCACAATGTTCCCAAAAAGCATTCCCGGACGCGGTCCAGCGTGGCTATCCCGGAAGACAACCGTTCCTGAAGTCGAAGTTCTGGCTCACGAAGTAGCGATCGAGCAAGGCAAGACGGCCTGGCGTTTTCGAAGCCGGCAAGTTGGCTGAGGGATGTATTAAGCGTCGCTAATCGACGTAGTTTAGTCGACGCAAGCTGCCAGGAGTAAAGTGGTAACTCCGCTGGCAACGGGGCCCTGCTGCGGCACAGGAAGAACGGTGCGGCGTGGTAGCAGAGAGAGGAGAGGACGAGAGAGGACGTTGCCTGCCCTCCCCCGGAGCCTCTCGCTAAGTGCTGCAATTTATTTTATTACCCACCGCGCGTCTACGTCCGGGAAGCCTCCAGTCGGTGGCTCGATTCGCGGCGAAAACACCGAGTCGGAACGTAATTTACACCGGGCCGGGGGAAACGGACACGATGTATCGACACCAACGAAAACAGAGGGTGGTTTCGTTTGCTGTTGTTGACACTTCATTTCTGTCGGCGGTCCCGGCCGATCGTTTCCTCTTCCACCCACCCATTCTGCCTCTCCTCTCTCAATCTCCTCTCTCTCTCTCTCTCTCTCTCTCTCTCGATCTCTCCCGTTCCCTCCGTCGCCCCGTGCCCCGCATTCCTCGCCGGCAAGTCTGATCGGATTTTCCTTTCGATTGTCTTTTGATTTACTGCGTCGAGACAGCCCGAACTGCGCAGACGGCGACATGGCGCGTAGGAAGTCACCGAGGAAAAATGAGAACGAAAATGGAGTGGATCGAGCGTGGCAAGACTGTATAGGGAAAAGAGGTTGTGCCGTGGGATCGAGGCCTCGCATGTCTGCGCGATCATTATAGCGGCTGGCAGACCGGCTCCGCAGTTCGGAAATTCAGTTCGTTTTGTTCGACGGCGATCCGATGTTCTCCGTGAACGTCGGGGCCTCCTTCCCGCTTCTGTACTCTGTGAATATTTCGGGACGGCTGCCAGCAATTACTTCTTTCCGGATTCCTCTGTACGGGATTTAATTGGTGAAACGCAAACGGCCCTTGGAACGTGTTCGGATCGGCCGGCCGTTTCTTTCGACTGTTTTTTGCAACAAACGGAGATTTATTTTGTTCAGGATGGTCGCTGAAAAACCGGAGAGTTTGAAAAGACGGCCTGGCGTTTTCGAAGCGGGAAAGTTGGCTGAGGGATGTATTAAGCGTCGCTAATCGACGTAGTTTAGTCGACGCAAGCTGCCAAGAGTGAAGTGGTAACTCCGCTGGCAACGGGGCCCTCTGGTAGGGTTTTTCTTTTAAATTATTTATTTTATTTTATTTTATTAATTTTTATTTTACTATTCATTTCTTCTTATTTAACACTAAACCTACCAAGCAGTAATACTAACTGGCATGTGCTGCTTCACAAAAGTGAGAAGACCGAATTTACTTAGAATTTGTAAAGTTGTTATTATGAAATTTGCTCCAATAATATAACTTATTCAAGCGTTTTCCAGTGAAGAGTCTCGGAACTTTGCAGAATTACAAAATAAGAAAGCTGTCACTCTGACCGCGGTAGGTTTATTTTGTATATATATAGTATACTTTGTTTACAAGTTTATTTTGTATACACATAGTATTGTTAATTATGTATACAGTGAACAAAATGAACAAGTGCGCATAACCATAACAGAGTTGGGCATTATTCAGATTGTTTCGAATAAATTTCGAATAAATTTATCAAATATATTTTACTCGAATGTCTTATTCGAATAATTTTTTATTGTATACGATACTTGGTCGCTTCGCGTCTATCCCTTGGACACACAGTATTCTTAAATGCCGAAAGGATGGCTAATATTATAAATATGAAGAATTTGAGGATATTTTTATTGTATAAATATAATTAATATATTAAATAAAATTAATATAACAATATTAATAATAATATTAATATAATAATATTAATAATAATATTAATGTAATAATATTAATATAATAATAGAATATAAATAAAATTAACATATTATGTACAGCTTATTAAAATTATTAAAGGAGGAAAGTCATTTTCGTCCGACTTATGTTTCTTAGAATCAAGATACACAATTTTTATTGATTCATTAAGCGTTCATGTAAACAATCTGGAACGTAGAACAGAAATAGTCATTGAGAAGAAGAAGGATTATTGTGGTCAGGCGACTAGAACCGTCCTGTGACAAGCTGTTAAATCAGGAACAACCCGTGACCAGACAAGTAGAATAGGTATGTCCTTTAGCGAGTCCAGTAGAATAGGAACAGCGTGTGGCCAGACAAGCAAAACAGACGATACACGTTTGAACAAACGAAATAAGGATAATTTATGCCAACACGAGTTGAATGGAAACGCTATGTAACAATCTATTGTCGGACAAGTAGAATAGGGACGACCCGTGGTCAGACAAATGGAACGGTAGAGTGGTGTAATAGCGTCAAGATTATTGGACGTTTGCAAAGTTCACGCAGCAAACGCGCGAATATTCACATACAAACAAAATCCAGTTGGATCAGTAAAAAAATATTTAGATCGATTTGAAATTTTCCCGGTTTATTCAGCATGCACCTACGAAAACATACGGAAACTGATTGACGAAAGGTACCGATATAACTCAGACTCGTATATTTTTTCTGGCTTATTGAATATTTGTGCAACCACGAAAACATGATATACGGAACGCAATGAAATAACAAGATAATGTCCTTGGATTCTGTGGAACATGCAAATCACAAATTTTAATTTTATTAACAATTCTTCAGGGAATATAGTATTTAGAGAACGCATA